AGGAACAATGCAGGAAATATCACGTCTGCAGATATGCACAGCTGTAAATCCTCCAGGATAACCTCATGCTTTGACAGCTGCTGAGTTATTTCATCAAAGTACCAGCTGGAGGAAGACCTGAGCCTGGAGATCAGCAGGGTCTGGTGCAGTCATGTGACTCTCACTTCCTCCTGCGTTCAGTAAAGTGTTCTTTTTGACTGCATGTAAGTGAGTCAGTGAGTTGAGGATGTGAACAGGCAGTTGCAACTTATATTTTACTCTCACGTCCAAAAAGAAGTGCCGAATTTACTGAAGATAAGAAATATATATTATATAACAAATATAGATTATAGTGGTCACAAACATACTTCATTAAAAATCAAATTTAGCACAGAGATATATCTAATGAAAATATCTACAGTTAGAGGGAAAACAAGTATAAATAAAAATAATCTGGTAAATTTAGGGAGAAGGATGACATTTTAGTAAACGAGCCATTGTTGGCTTAAATACAATAAGGCGCAACAAAACCCTAAAGCACTAAAAGCGTTTTTATGTCTTCAGCTATACTTGTACTCTACCTAGCGGCGATATGGTGTCGCTACAGCCTCAGTGTCTCAAGTTGTAATGATTCCAATTCGCCAGCAGGAGGCTGTACCACACAACGCTATAACTCCATACACATCGATTCAGGACCATGAAGACTGAATGGACATGTTGCTGGTTTGTAAACTGTAACTTTTCATTTATTGTTTGGTTCTACATACATTAAAGTTGGAAAACTAAAACGAGCCGTGATTCCCTCATGTGTGGCTTGTTTCTGCTGTTTGATAGACTTTTTCTTCTCGACTTTTCTCTGGCCTTGTTGCTCAGTTACGTTTGTTTATTGACTGTAAATTAACGAAATAATGACAGTAGCCTTATAAAGACTTCCCGGGAGGCGAAATTAATCATTAAAGGCAAAAACAGAACAGCTAACAGGCCAGAGAAGTCTTTATTTTAAGTTAAATAGTTCGAAACACAGAAGGATGCTAATTAGTTGGTAAAACGCAGCTGCTGGATCAAACTAACGGTCGAATTGAAGTTTTAAAAATGGCGTCTTAAGAATTTGTAGAATTCTCCTCTTTTTAAATATTGTTAATATGTTAAAAAATAGACCAGAAAGTTGATTTAGGTAAACTAACATTTGCTATGTATGTAACAGCCCTGTACTCTGTGTGTGTGTATATATATATATATATATATATATATATATTATATATATATATAGACACATATGTACATATATCCTCTTGTAAGTCGCTTTTTATAAAAGCGTCTGTTAAGTGCATAAATGCAAATACATATGTATCAACATGTGTATCAACTGTTTTTGTAGGATATGTACATATATACCGTAGTACTCATGTGCTTTCATTCTGGGCTATTTAAATTACTAGTAATTACTAGTAAAACAAATATTCCTCACCTCAGAAAACTTAGGATTGTTTTTAAATTGTGTGTAAATATACATTTCCACGTCTTGCATGCGAGATATTCATCGTCTTTTTTTTTTGTTGGCTTCCCACAGCTGTGAGGGAAAAAAAGTCTTAATTTTTGTTTTTGAATGTGTGCCTCTAAAAACAGCCACTAAATTGTGTGGCATTTAGGAGAGGCAGACATTAAATTGTATCTGTGGCAGACTGAATGACCATGGCTGCTCATTTGTGCTGTCTTTTTTGTATTTTTGTTTAATGTTATATCTTAAAAAATCCCATGTCTCGAATCAGATTTGAAATGGTTTGAAAGTAAATGAGTGGGAAAAAGTGAGTGGCTTGAACACACAGTCCAGTTTGTCACGTATTGTTCTGAACTGCTGATTTTCTTTCCCAACAAAGAAAAACACTGTGGAGAGGAAGAAAACATCGTCAGTTCTTGATAGAACTTGTTCTTTATCTGTAAATGTTCTCAGTTCTCCAACAGATATTTTCTACTCTACCTCACAGACGTACGTGTCCAAGATGTGCACCCCACCCCCCCTGCAGGGTTTGGAGAGAGACACGCACACTGCAAACTGCTGACCCCCGTCTCCTCAGGGACCCCCAAGAAAGTCTGGTGAGGGGTCTCCAGTGCCGAAAAGCAGGAAGTCACAGCTGTGCTCATCCCCCTTTCCACCATATGTGAGTGTGAGTTTGGGAACTCAAAAGTAAATGTGGGTCATTTCATGATCATGTGTGCGTGAGAGTCAGCGTGTATTTGTGTGTGTGAATGATTAAGTGTATATCTCTCTCTCTGTGTGTGTGTGTGTGTGTGTGTGTGAGTCAGTCATCTCTGGTTGTTAATGTTTTTGTCTCTGCTCCTTGATCTAATCAATTTAACTTTGAACTTTATTCCCACTACCCCACTGTGGTGAAGAGGGACAGTACAGTATATGTTTAGGTAGTGTGTCTTTTCTTTCTGATTTAAATATATAAATGTAAATTATATGTAGGCCATGTTTCCAGAAAACTTAGATTTGTAGTTTGTAGGAATTTGAATGTGTGACTCTTGGCAGATGCTCCTTTTATACCCAGTCTTGTTAACCAAACCTATGAACAGCCAACCAGGTGGAACATCTGGTGTTCCATGGAGGTCTTTGTCTGTCTTACTTTGGTGTGTATTATAATATACAGTATAATCATGATTTAGATAGTGACCCAGCCTGTGTGGTATGTGGATTCATGAACACAGTCTGTATCAAGGTGAATGATGTCATGTCATGATGTTACAGAGTGCAGTGAACTTCCTGTTTCTCTGGGACAATCATGAAAACCCAGATGTCTCCACCGTCTCCACCGATGTGCAGCTCTGATCTGAGCCTCTGCAGCAGCACTAGATGAAACTCATCATTTGCAGATAAAATGTCTGCACATTTTTCTTCTGTCTTCTTCTTTTTCTTGTTTCTGCTCGTACTTTCTTCTTATGGTCCTGTAGTTCCTTCACAGCTGCTGTAAATCTCCTTTAATCTAACGAGCTCAGAGGTGCTGTAACAGTGACTGCCTTTGTCTTGGCCATAGATAAAACCACTGAAAGAAAACACAACAGGAGACACAGGGGAGCGGGGGGTGAGGAGGAGAGGATGAGAAGAGGGTGAAGAGCAGCGATGGTAAATCCCTTTAGTGCAGGTAGAAATAAACAGATCTATACAACAGTGAGAGTTTCTCCTCTCCTTTGTTCTTCTGTTAAAAAGAGTGAGTGATTTGTAATTTAGAATTTAGAACCTTTTATCTATTTTCCTTATTCTGTCTTTGCTCGGTCATTCAGTTCATAAATCGACTCTCGCTCGCTTTACTGCAGCTGCTGTTTGACAGGTTGATGCCAATCAAATCCTACTCACAAAACTGTCAGAGAGCGGGAGAGGTAGATAAATAAAAGGGAAGTCAAAGAGAGAGAGAGTGAAAGTGAGAGGGCAGGAAAAAGCAGAGAGATAATGGGAGAGTGGGAGGTGGCTGAAGAAGAGAAGGAGGTATAGGAGATGAAGAGTGGGGGGAAAAAAATGACTTCACAGTCGAGAGTGGACGGCCCCCTTTTCCCCCTTCAGCCTCTCTCTTCTCTCGCTGTCAACTTTTTCCCTCCTCCTTCCTCTTTCTCTTCCACCTCCTCCTGTGTGTGTGTTTTTGAAATGATTTGGGGAGAAGAGAGGAATGAGCAATCGCAGCTGAGCTGACGGTGCAGGCAGGAGCGTCACACAAGCCAGAGGAGCCTGAGGCACTGGGACAGGCTGAGGAGACTTTAGGAGAGGGATTTTAGATCTGATGTCCAGGACAGACAGTGGAGACAGACTTTAATAATATATTTACATATAGAAATATAGTGTCATTTTATAGCCAGGCAGAGAGGCAGAAATCTGCTGTGTATTCTTCACACTTTTTCAAAACTGGATTAAACTTTTCTTTTTGTTAACAGATGAAAAGAAGAGACTTTGAATAAACAGAAGCAGCTTCTTCATCCAACAATGCTTCTGAGGAACTTTTCTCCAGACTGTTGGCATGCCTCTGGACTCTGACGCAACAATACGACAGACATTTTCATTCATTTCCACTTAAGGAGCCTGACTGATTTTTTTTGTCTTCCTATATAAGTTAACGTCCTCTAGTGCAGGTGTTGTGCTGACTCGGCATGTTTTCTCAAAGGGACTCTATAAAACCGTCATGGACTTTTTGTATTCTTCTAGTTTTCTGCTTCCTGGATGTATGGACCACAGCTTGGCCCGATGTCCGACAGTCAGAACCTCAGACAAAGTCCCGCCGCTCCAGGCAAATGTCTTCACTCACATTGACCTCCACCTCCTCCATATCCTCCTCATCATCACCTGGCAACCTGTCGGAGAGTGCCGAGAACAAAGTGGCACGCCTAGGACAAGCTTTCAAGCGCAACCTCCGCGAGCTTCGTGAGAAAAGCGCCTGCCTTGACCTGGTTTTCCTGGTGGATGAGTCTTCCAGCGTGGGGGCCACCAACTTCCTGAGTGAGCTCCGGTTCATACGGAAGATGCTGTCAGACTTCCCTGTAGCACCAGAGAACACCAGGGTGGCGGTAGTCACCTTCTCTTCCAAGACGCACGTGTTGACCAGGGTGGACCACATCACCACGCCCAAGTCCCACCATCACAAGTGTTCTCTGTTCAACAAGGAGATCCCAGCCATCAACTACAGAGGGGGGGGCACTTACACCAAAGGAGCCTTCCAGAGGGCAGCGGTGAGTCACATCTGTAGATCTGGTGAAAGTGTGAATGTGCACGATTGACTTCATGTCTTTGTCAGGTTTGACCTGTTCTCCTAACTTATTAATAAGGCTGTTGGTCAGCACTTAGCTGTGATTTCACAAAGTGACTGTGGTGCAGTGGGTTGATGGTAATGAGGCTCAACATACAGTATCTTTGTTTCTGCTGCTTCCTCTAAATTACACAGCAGCAGCAGAGAGTCAGGACAAGCCACTCACCAGCTAATGGTTCAAGTCTCCAGTCAAAGTCTGAGAGAGTTTAGACCCAGACAGATCCAAACTTACTCCTGTAAAGATGGACCATCAGAAAGAGGATATGTCCTTATTCTGAACTGCTTCGTTTCTGATAAACTCTAATGTTTAGAAAAAATGTTTTGTTATAGGTTAAGGAGTACTTAACTAGTAGTGCAGGTCTGGCCTTTCTGGTAAAGTGTGTTTTTTAATTACTGACAAACTCCTTTGTATCAAAGCAGTTCTGGATATTCACTAAACAGTAGTCTCACAGGTTATGTGCCCACCATTAGAGAAGCAGAGATTGTTGGGGTTACACATGGTCACGTTGCGTCAAAATGTCAGCTTTATTATGGTTTGTTGATTTGGGCTGCCTGACACTGGGCAGCATGAACACACAGTTCATCTGTTAAGTCCAAACAGTCCAGCTGGAAAGGCTGTTTTAGTGGTTCCAAAGCTGGTAACAGGTATGTGTACACAACCAGCTGTGGTACATGCGCACACAAATACACAGTGAAAGTATTTTGAGAGTAGTGAACAGTACAGAATTCAGCAGCTGCCCGGCTCCTCTAAAGCAGCTAATAAAAGCCATAAACATAATTCAACTAATTTCTGTTATTCTGGCCTTGCATGAAAGGAGAAGTGGTAAAAATCATGGCAGTCTGACAAATATGGAAAGTCAGTGTTTTGACTGCAGTCAGCTGAAAAACAGATTATTCAAATTTTATAGACTTAAATGCTATTGCATATAAAAATAGGCTAATATCTGCTCAAATTGCACAACTTGATGTTGGCTCTGGCAGCATCATCTGCTTCATGTCAATGATGTGGTTTTTTAAAAACGATGGTTAAAGTGCAGCAGGGAGCCTATAAACATCAAGAATAAATAGATTTTAAAAAATACCCAACTATTAACAGTTAAGTTAATGTTTTTCAAAAACAAAACACTCATTGTATTTGTGTATGTGTTTACACATAGACAATGTCATCTCTAAATGTGTTTAAAGCCTATTTAGATGAACGCCAGACAACGCCAAAGCCTAGTCTGTAGACATCTTGATTCACCGGACCAGCCCTTACTATATGTGTCTAGTACTCATGAGTCTGTGCCCAATGTAGCCTCACATTTCTGTTGGCTAAAAGGAGTGGGGCCTGATGTGGTCTAAACCATACACCTCAAAAATCCTCCTGTTGTGCACTTTGAGAAACTTTCCTGCAGACCATAGTTGTAAAGAGTGGTCATCTCAGTGACTGCACTGCCTGTAAGCTCCGACCAGTCTGACCATTCTCTGACCTCTCATCAAAAAGGTGTTTCTGTCTCCCGAACCAGTGCTCATTGTGGGTTTTTGCACCAGTGCCAAACTCTAAAAGGCTGGTTTATGTAAAGGGTTCTGTGAGATTGAGTAAAGCCTCTGTCCTTACTCTGGGGGTTTCATGCCTCGCACCACTGCCTTCTGTGTTGTCTGCTTGGGTAATTGCTTAAATATGCTGGGGAGGAGATATGACGTCTATTTACACTCCACAAAAAGCATCATGTCAATCTAGTCTTAAGACCAAAAGGACAGGTCACTTGATTTTTGACATTTACAGCCTTGGTTTTATGCCTGTTTAAAACCATCAGCCTTTGACCAAATCCTGTGTCTTACTGCTGAAAGCTTGGTCCTCAGGACAGGTTTTCAGCTCACTCCATTTACTTAAGTGCTGATAAGAAGCCTTCTGGCCACGGCCCAGGTCTTAAAGACTGCAACGGCACTACGAACAGACTCTGCTGGGGGAACTTTAATGCCCTATCAAAATTCACAAAGGCTCTGAGTGTTTTTGGTCATTTATCAAGTGATGTAGTAGAATAAATCATCAAAGATGACGGGTCATACTGCTGCTTAGGCTCTTAGGTTGGCAGTTGTTGATGAAACGTCTGATTAAAATACCAAGAATAACAGCCAACAAAGGATCCTCTATCACATTTGCACCGTGAGAGTTCGTAGGTTGACGTAAGAGATGCGTGAGTAATGGGAAACCTACGTGTCGTCTACACAGAGCTGAGACTTTTTGGGAGGGAAAGAAAAATGACTGTAGCCGATTGAACAGGAGACACAATTCATCAGCCGTTCCTCCAGAAACCATCGATCCATCCTGATTATCAGCGGGACTCTGCATGATTGAGGAAGGGATGAAAACACTTTGAATTTGAAAGGGAGAAAACTACAGTGAAAATACATTGTGAGTTGTAATTTGACCATTTTTCATTGTAATGATTGTATCCATCTTTGATGAACTTGTGCATCTATTTTTGGAAGAAAAAGACACAGTGAAGGTAGAAGGCTGAGGATAATTAAGAATTATTGAAGAATAACCATAACAGTGATTTTATCTGTTATTCTCTTGGCTGTAGAAAGACGGATTCCATTAAGGGAGACATTTTTCCACCAGCTGTGCATGTAGAGACAAGAGCTCTCCACTTCAACTGTCACACACTTCAACATCTGCTCACCTCATACATCACAGTAGTTTTAAAGCATCAGTGATCACGGCTCCCAATATCAGTGGCTGTAGAATGAACCTGATCACAACAAAGTTAATAAGGTTCATTAGGGGTATGCAGCCTCTTTGAGGCTAAATACCAGGACTTCCCAGTAGTCAGTCAGAACTGAAGAAGCCTCTTGGATGAGAGGTGAAACGTCTTTGTGAAACGTATTCCCTCCAATGCCCTTGATGTTACTATTTTTGGATAAGATGACTGAGAACCTACACAGACATGGTTGAGATGGTTTGGTCGTGCTGTAGAGGGAGGACGGAAGGACAAAAAGGTGCTGTTGTAGCAGTGAAGGAGGATGATCCAACCTTTTTTTTTCTCTTTCTCTAGAATTTATATATGAATTTGTGCCAAATATACACCCTTCCTCACACTGCATCAGCTTGTGCTTGATTCAAAGTCATTAACTGCCAGTTTTTAGAGTGTCACAGTGTCAGATTTGATTATGTAAATGATTTAAAACAATATATTAGAAGAGCCTTTTTTTAACCTGGATTATAACTGTGCCAGTCTGTCTGTTCTGCACATGGAGAGAGCACCATTTCCAGAATGTTAGACTGTCAGGGCTGCTCATCATATTATCTGAAGTCTTTCCATACTGTTGCCAATCCAATAGTAACAACTGCAGTAAGAAAGAAACTGTCTGAAGTTCAGTGACTCTTTCATTGATGAAAAGCAGGGTGGAATAATGTAGACAAGAGTAAAAGTCATAGTTTAGGAGCTCATTAAGACTCTGTCTTTCCTCAGCCTCACAGCACATGTGATAACCTTATAACTGAGGTCATCACTCAGAGTCTAGTCAACCTACATCATTCATAAGAGCTGGACAAGTAGCTACATGACCTGCAACAAAAAAGTCCAAGACTGTACGTTTAATAATTTTACTTTCTAGAATGTTAGCAAAAATTTCCTGCTAAATACAATTTATGCAGCTTGTTGATTTTAATATTTCACAAAAACCTCTGACAAATATGATTGGTAGATAATGTCAAAGGTCAGCACTATCTGTTTAGTCAGCAGTAATTTAAGTATCCAAATAGTAGAAAATTTGACTGGCCTTTTAAAAAAAACTGCTTGTTTTCTTGTCTGAACTTTTGTCTCCATACTGAAGATTTACCTCCAGTTAAGAGTGAGTTGCTAATAAATCCCCACATCTGAAGGCAGAGTCGGCTTTGGCAAATAAAAGGTTGAGATTTAAAAGTCACTGTCAGTCTGCAGTTACATAAGATACAGACAGAGGAGCAGTGGGTGAGGAGAAATGATGAAAGAAAAACATTGTGGAGAAAGATGGAGGAAAGAGGAAAAAAATGCAGAAAACTAAAGAGGGAAGCCCTGGACTGACAGAGGAATGTGGCTCAGAGCTCTGACTGCTGTGACTCAGTACTGGAGCAGGAGACCTGCATTAAAAAGAGTTCTCTGCTCAGCTTTTGTGTTTCTGTGGCCTGAGTTTATAAAAGTTGGAATCAGAGCTGTGTTATTTTCACTCACACACAGACAGTCGGAGCCGCAGGTCGTAACATGCCTGTCACCATATGTATGTCAGTCAAAGGGTTCATATTGTAGACATAACACTAGAGCGTGAACATGTGTGAAAATGTCTGGGTCTTTTCATTCACAGATTTACTGTGTCTAAATGAACCTTTAACTTTGACAGCTGTTGGAATTTGCAGCTGTAAACATCAACAGTATGAATGGTCAATCCAACAGGAGTCATGTGGTAAATCCATTATCATACGATTGAACAATAGTCAGTCCAAAAATCCCTTTTGCTGAGTGAGTGATAAATGATTCAACTCTTTAAATAAATCAATGATGTTTTCTCCAGATTTGTTTTTAATTCCTGGGCCCGTCTTCATCTGTTTGATTCCATGTTGATGCTTTACTTGTCACCCACTCGTCTAAAGTCGTGAGGCAAGTTCCAACTCTACCGAGTTTTGCCAGACCACAATAGGTGAAATAAGTAAAGAGGGCTGAGTGTGTGAGGACCAATTCCCATTCAAGGAAGTCAATGCTTGAGAAATTAAATTTGAAATAAAACACACATCAGTGGTATTTTTTTTTGAATTATGTCTCTTTATCTGTAGCCTTTCTTCTTACTTTTTAATACGGACAGGCCAACTCTAGTAAATTTGATGATGCGGGCCAAATATAATTACACTGCGGGCCAGATTTGGCCCCTGGGCCCAAGTTTGACACATGTGCATTACAGCCA